ATGTGGTCTACAACACTACAGATGGCACAGGAGGGTGTATCATCGCAGTCTGTGGTGCCAATGGAACGCTGGAAAGGACTGTCTACGACTGTCCAGTCACAACAACACCCACAACAGGAACAACGTTCCACTTCAGCACTACGCCACCTGTCACTACTTCCACAGGTACATCCTTTAGAGCCGTTGAGAGCACATGCTATCCATCAGGGAGTAAAACACAGCTAAAAAACATACCCACACTCACAACACAAGCAAATTTAAAAAACAAAACAAAACAAATTTCAGTAAGTCTCATTTGCTATTAGCGTTTGGTTTGAGTCGGAATTTGGTAACCAAAGTGATACAAAACCCAAAACCACTTCTGCAACACCAAAATGGAAACAGCTACACACTGGTTTGATATTGTTATTTTGCTTAGCCTCAGAGTAAACTGTAAAAAAAGGTATCAGATTTATTATCTGTAGTTGTAACTATTTCTACGCCTGGAATGATCTTTACTAAAAAAATAATGCATTATTGTTCCTATTCAATTGCAGAATTATTACTTTCTGTAAAATTTGTGTTAAGGTTCATGGTATTTATAATTACAAGACTCAGATATTGGCATTGAGATACTAAAATTTCCATTTCTAGCATTCCTGTATTCCTAGCATTGTTCAGGTTTGTAATCTCTAGTTACCATGGGTAACATGTTTAATGAAACAAGCTTCGAGTATAAAACTTAGAACTACAAGTTTTGATATCACAGAAACCATCAGCACTGCTGGAATTCATTAGCCAGTTTCCAGGCATTTTGCAAGGAGAATTCACCTCCAAAGCCTATAGACTTGCTCTCCAACCAGTAAATGATTCTTTAAGATCAGAGCTAAAGTACAAAGGCGTGCTAATAATGCTGCATTAGGCATCTTTTACATCAAATGGAGGATAAAAAAATAATGCAGCACATGGCAAGAGGAGCAAGCTCTTTTGGAAGAAAAAAGCACCACCTATGAACCTTGATACGTAGACCAAATGTTATTCTGTCCACAGGATTTGAGTGCATGTTTAACAGTCATGGGGGATTAGTAAATATTGAAGCAAAATACAAACAAGCAATTACACTGAATCGAATGCAAAAAAAAAAAAAAGAAAAAAAAGTGATGGTTTTCCCCCCCAATATGTATAAATTATGTTCAAGTCTTAATTCAGCACCTTGTAAAAATTGATAGGCATTGTCTTCAGAAGAGACACTTCCAAGCATGTCAGTACATTCAATCCCTGGGTGATGGCTTCTATTCCATATTAAATTATAAGTGCATTAAACTGATACACTCTGGGCTCACAATGCAAGCAAAGGACATGAGGAAAATTTTCATCCCCTTTCAGAAAAAAAGAGAATATTTACAAGAATTTATTCTTAGCTTCATGGTATCTATTTTTTTTTTCCCTTTCACAGTGTCACCGACTACATCAGTGTGTGTTCATGAAGTCTGTGAGTGGTCACAATGGTATGATGGGAGTCAACAAACCCCTGGCTATGACGGTGGAGATTTTGAAACTTTTGATGATTTGAGAGCTAAAGGTTATGAAGTCTGTAAAGCTCCACGAGCTGTACAATGCAGGGCAGAGAAATTCCCGGATATACCACTGCAAGACCTCGGCCAAAAAGTAGAATGCAGTACGAAATCTGGGCTCATATGCTACAACAAAGATCAAATCTCAATGCTGTGCAACAACTACGAAATCAGGATCTTGTGCTGTGTTTTCGTGCCATGCTCTTCCACAACACATTCCAGCACGTCAACACCGATCACGACGACCACAAAAACATCAAGCACAAGTGAAGAAACATTTACAACCACTACACCCTTTAGCACGACTTTCGGAATTACAACATTCACAACTACCGAATTACCAAGTACAACAACGACCGAAACAACAACACCTGTCACCACTACTCCTTCCACAACACCTCCTTGCATAAAAGAAGAATGTTACTGGTCAAGGTGGTATGATGTCAGTTATCCGGGGTCTGGATACAACGATGGAGATATCGAAACAGTCCAGAACATTAGAAAGAAGGGATACAAAGTCTGTGAGAACAGAAAGGCTGTTGAATGCAGAGCTGTAAGGTTCCCTGATGTACCATACCCACTCCTGGAGCAACACATAACATGTAATACACAAGGTTTGAAATGCTACAATAAAGACCAACTACCACCCATCTGCTATAACTATGAAGTAAGATTTAAATGCTGTGAAAATATAACAGTACCATGTGAGACAACAACAACGCCATATACAACCACACGAAAATCAGAATCAACCACAATATTTACAACAACTACAGAACCAACATCTACAGAAGTAACAACCACACCACACATCTACACCAAACACCAGACAACTACGTCATCAACAACTCCACCCGAGACACAACATATCCATAAACCAACAACACAGCCAACGACGGAGAGCCCCATCACCACCCAGTCCACAACTTCCTGCGAGCCCGAGATCTGCTCCTGGA